GTGCCTGTGATATATTTAATGGTAAATAGAAGTGAAAATATAAAGCAGTTTTTTTACTTATGTTTCTGTGTTTTATGAGTTCTTGTGGTGCACAACGCAGGCAGTGATTTATTGCCTGATTATTTATTTTACAATGATAAAACAAACCTCAGACTGCATAAGATGAAAACACTAGTCTACTAAATTTTCATTTTTATATTCATGTTCTATTCATGTTGATGTCTTATCTGTAAAACCATAAATCACATACTAATGTAGGAAATTCTCTTGAAAATTCATTACTTCCATTATGTGAGATGGAGTACTCAGTTATATCTTATTGGATACACCTAAAAATATAAATTTATTGGTAGTGGGGTCTTTGCTTTCAGTGACTTTCAGTAAATGCAAACCTGAATTTTATGTGCACACATTACAACATGGGTAAATCACTAGTCTTGCATCCAGTGTCTGACTCTTTACTAATATTTTATCATGAAATATGAAAGAGCACATTTTATTCTAAATGACAAATTCGTTTAGAATAGTGTACATTACATAAACACTAGACTGTATGTATATGGGAAGCAAAATAAGTCAATAAAATACTGGGATATGTTAAAATAATGTTTGAATTATAGATGTTTTAATACATAATCCATCAAAGAACTGTAATATGAATAAGCCTATTTTAACAAGCATTCTTAGTGTTTAGAGAAGCTCTCTATGATTAAATCTGGAGGATAAAATAGCTCAAGTTTAAGAAAAGTAACAGAAACCTCGTCTTTTTGAAGTTATTATAAATATCATACATCCGTTTATTTTATTTTTTATTTATGATGCTTAATAAATAAGACTTAATTATCTTTGATGCTTTTTGTGTTTTATTGCTTTGGTGAATATTTTGTGGTTATTTGGAAAGAAAAAAATGTATACAGAAATGTAAATTTATCATTCTTGAGTAGTAAACAACTTGAGTATCACTGAATGAACAACAGAAGTCCCACCCTCATGGTCCAAAAAGCAGCAGGGGTGACTTGTAATGTATATCCCACAATGCATCACTCCTGCTAATTACTATGGTGCATGTGGTGGTCAAGGTCAGACTCCAATTATTACTTTTTTTTTTCCTTAAAAGAAATTACATTTGTTGAGTGTTACTGGGAATATTTGCATTTTGTAAGCTCTCAGTCAGAAGAAATTCTTATTTTGACTAAATTAGTAACCATCTCCTAATGAGTCTCATTCATGTTAGTAGAGAAAGTAAATCAAGAAAAGTTACAGAAGTACAGTAGGGAAAAACTGCTTACGACTTGTTTTTTTTTGTTCCACAGTGCAGACTTTCAATCATTTTGGCACAGAAGGAAGAGACGTGAATGTACATTTATGATCTTTAAACTGCAAGTTAGTTCAAAAGAAAAAAAAACAGAAAGGAAAAGAATCTTCCAATAGCATCCCTCATGTTGTGAGATTGGAAAATTCCACATTAGAACGTGAAATACAAAATATCAGGTGCCTTGTAAAGTTACCAAGTGCTCTTAGATTCCTAAAGAAATCCTTTACGGCCCCTTGATTTTTCTCTCAAGTCTGCTCCATATGAATTGTGCTGCCTTTGGGGTTTACCACAGGAATCTCTTCAAACAACACTTTGTACTGTGCAGGAGAATCAAGATTAATATGCTTTCACAGCTCCTACTTGCTCCAGGGGAAAACTGTGCTATAATTAACACCATGGGGCCTGAAAAGATTTTAAAAAATAAAAAATAAATAAAAATTATATATAGGCTCTTTAGTGACTTATGACACTGCAATCAGATAAAAGTCCAGAAGTGACAGGCCATTTCTACACGCAAGAGCAATCAAGAAGTGTGTCAGCATGCATTGTCTGCAATGAGGTTTTTTGAGTCTTGTAGGCCTCTGTTTTCAGACAAGTGGAAAGCCAGCAGGCAATAATTCAAATAAGTCTCTTTTGTTTTTCTGTGTATTGTATTTCATAGGAAACAGAATAACTTTTATTTTCAGTCTTCAAATAATTATGAAATATTTTTAGAATGTCTTCAAAAACATTAACTGTATAAGAAAACTCAACAAAAAATCTGTGCCTTTCAGCAATAAAGTGAAACAATATAAAAACAATTTCACAAACATTTATATTACTTTGCATCTACATTCTAAATAAGAATATAAGAATGTTGAAATCTTGCTTCACCCATTCCAAAATCACCACAAAGTCACACTCTATTAACTTGATATTTCCCCTCTATATGATTTGCTGATGTTGGTGGTTAGACGTTAACTGATTTAAACTCAAAATGTCAGGTTCTGAGCTATATATCTGAATAACTTGTTCTAAACTCCTACAACCCTCTGTGTAAAATGTTTCCTGTTCTCATTGTCCAGTTACACAAAGCCCTGTTTTGCATTGCACAGTTCAATCTGTAGAACGTCATTGGATTAACATTAAAAAAGATATGTATACAATTTTAGTGGACAAGAGAACAGTCAGTAAAATGTTTAGTGACAGTTGGCTTGTGTATAATTTCTACTGTAGGGCTTCAAGTTCAGTTTCCATGAACTAATGTAGATTTTTAACATTCTTACAGCATCCTATAATACCCTTTTGGCTTATTTTAAAATCATTCATGGTACATCTTGTTAGTTGTAATTCATTAAAGCATCCCGAAATGTTTAGTTTTGTTAAAAAGTGGTTTGATTTTATTTGTTATTGGAGAAGTGGGAGGCAGAAATCACCAGGAGAAATACTCTATTCTCTAATGGAGCTCTGTCCTTTAATTAATGTATTATGCATGTGTTACTGCATAATTTAGCTTATGTCAGATAAGTTGGATAATCTTTCTCCTTTGGAGGAAGATTTCAAGGATGGAGAAGAGTGCCAGGAATACATTTTCAAGGTTGTATAATTTCAAGACTCAGTCATGCAGTGCGGCTACATGCATAGTGGATTATTGACAGCATAAAACATAGCTGGCTAAGCATTATTTTTGGAAATGCCAAAGGCATAAAAGTTCTGTATTTGTATAACTGGCTGACTCCTTGCAGCACTTAGCAAAATAGGTGCTCATTGTCCCTTGTTTAGACATTAAATAGAAACTACAGTAAGTACTAGAGAAAGCCAAATACTGGCAAAAATAAGAACTGTACTTATGGTAAATTCATGATGACTCCTTTAAGATAGATATAAATGTTACTTTTAAAGAAACTTAAATTTAATTAATCAACAACAATATTATATTACTCTAGGGATGCAAAGATGCCTTAATAATATTTGCACATCAGAGATTTCACATATATATTGGTGTAAGAGAAAAACTGCACTACATAAACAAAAAAACATGTTATTTTTTGTTTAGTGATAATAGGAATTACCTTTTTGTTTTTGGAACACATGTCTCTAAAGAAAGCTGCAAACAATATTTCTAAAGAAAGCTGCTTATAATATTTACTAGGTCTAGGTTTGTATTCCCAAAGTGCATTTTTAGTTATTGAACCTAACTTTTAATGTGACCGATAAAGCTGTGAAGCTGTTTGGAGGCTGTATTTGAATATACAAACAATGCAACACTTGAAAAATGCAGCTCTAAAAATTAAGATAAAGTGAATAAATTTGTAATATTTAAATTAATATGACAAATCTGAATGGTCTAGATAAATTGAAAGTGAAAAGAGATCCTATTTCTACGTTATTTCAACCTAAATAGCACCTGCATTTCCATTTTTGTTATGCTTTCAATACTAGTTTCTCAGTAAAGACAACCTCATTATCATAAGTATCCTCTCTCCTGAAGATATTTTGTATAATTTTATTTTTTCTCAGCTGGTGACATACACATAGGGACATACAATCAATTTCAAATCACAACCTATTTAAACTCCAAAGATGTGTGATTGTTTTTGTAATGGTTTTTGTTTATGTATAAAAGTTAATCAAAAATATATCCAAGAAACTGCTGATTACTTTGTAGTTACAAAACAGATCATTGGAAGCATTTTGCCTGCTGTCTAAAATATTCATAGTTAAACTATATGGTATTTTTTATTTTCCTCATGTACTTTGTTTTCTTATTGTATGTGAGCACAGACATCTTTCTGCTGAATTCCAAAAGGGTTCTAAAAGCCAAATATTTACACAGAAGTGCTCCATTTTCCATTCATATTCATAATCTCTTTCTTTGACCATGCCAGATTTCCATGACTCCAGAATCCATAACATTGACACTCACAACCCATTTCATTTCATACTAAGAATCGTTTCTACTGTTCATCACATGTACATTTCATCCATGGATACAAGTTCAGTTACTCACTACTTTCTTTATGAGTTTTTATTTTCAGAAAAATACGTCTTAACAGCTAAATATCCAAATTAAGAGTAATTATTTTCTGCAAATTCTCTATTTTATAATCAACATCATCTTCATTTATTATATCATAATCTATTTCACATGATAAATTGTGAAAATCACAGTAATCGTGTAGCTGTAAAATTTCCAGTCTACTGCGACTACAGGGAAAGAGAACAGACATCCAGCTTGCATTTAAAATGTTTCTGCTCTACTTTATTGTTTAAAAATCTGCAATGTTTTTATGTTTAGACATATTCTGAATTCCCCTAAAATTCTAAAAGACTTAAGACAAATATTTACATTACATTTTTTCCATTCATATTCACATTCTCTTTGTCTGAACATGACAGATTTCTGTGATTCCAGAATGCACTGCACATTGAATGCACTTCTGTTTATATGTACCAGGGACATGCTTAGAGGAAACTTGGGACTGTTATATCTGTCAAAATGCTTATCAGTATTTAATGACTAACAAAATAATCAAGACAAAGTTCATAGCATTTGAATCATAATTTCAATTATGCTTTGAACATATACTCCATTCTTTACTTATGCTCCGGTGTAACATTTCCAAATGGAAATGATTTCCAAAGCTTGAACTTTTTTAAAACTAATAAAAGTTGATATTGACAAATCTTCTTTGTATTTTTTCAGGTTTAAGAGGCCCAACTGAGAACCAAGTGCATCAAACAATACCTTTATCTTAAGGTGGCACCAGTTCATTGCTTACTGGAAAGTTACATAGAGAAGTTTTCCCATGCCTAAGAAACACAGATGGCTTTGCTGGACTTGTTGAAGAAGATGTATTTCATAGTGTTTTGTTTTTTTCATTTTCTGTAATGTATAAAGTATTAAACTTCACTTCTGCTCTTCAAAGAAGTGAGGAGATTTTGATGGGAACATTATCCACAAATGTTTGTTTTTTGTGTACCAGAATCAAATGGATTTAACCTTGCATTTTTTTTTAAGGGGAACTGGGTGAAATTTGTATTTTGTTTCACAGCTTTGTTGATAAAGTAAACCCATAAAGTGTACTGAAAAACAGTCTTAACTCAATTTGCAAAACAATAATTGAACATTTTATTTAAGAGAGTGAAACCAGGATTAAACTCTTCTGAAAATGACCTTTGTTTTTTAAGACACTACTAATGTGCCTGAATATCAGTGTTAGAATGCATTCAACTTTGTAGTGCAAGGCTGGAATAAAGAGCAAAACCTGAAGGGGTCAGGTTCTTCATGCCTGATTGATTTCTTCTTCTAAAGACAAACTGGTCCTGTTATCGGTTCACTGTGTGACCGTGCGACTCTCTGATGTATTATGTCACTGTCTGATTTTTTGTATTGCAGTAAAATAGACAAAAACGCTTTGTGTTAGTTACACTAAGGAATTCACCATGGGCTGTCACTTCAATGCAGATGTTGCCATACAATGTTTTTAAAGAATTTTGAAGGTTTTAGTAACTAATGCCACAGAACGGGAAATAAAAAAGCCTTTATTGACTTTTACAGGTATTGTACAGTAGTGGCTTTCTAGTTCTGTTGATGTTAATGTGTGTTGAGAAGATTGATGTACAGAAATATTTTCTCCACTTAAATCCAAGTGTTGCATGTGCAATCTAAAACTGCAGAGATTTGTTACAAAGAAATGTTGCCTCTCTGATCCACAGTTGCCTTCTTTATTCCGTTTGGAACTAAACATTTAAACATTCTCATTTGAAAAGGCTTTTTTACTTGGGTTTTAGATATTGTGTTATGCAGGCATCATTTAAGAATAAAGAAAATGTAGCTGATCTTGCAGTTTTTTTGTTCACATTGTGCCTCAAAGATGGAAGCAAAACATTTTTAACCTTGGCAAAGTCAGGTCCATGCATGAATGGATGCTTTATTATTTCAGGTTAGTATAACATTAAAATGCATAGCCTGACATCACATACTATGGGGCACTTTTAAAAGGCCATTTTAGTGGATCTGGAGTTATATTTTCTCATCCATTTGTGAGAATCCATACAATGTTTTTACAGTATATGTAATTGTAGAACATGTGGCTAAATGTTTTCTACAAAGATCTTGAACAATCTTAACATTTGACTTTATTTAAATATACCGTATCTACAGACACAATACAAATGATACAGTGTCCGTTCCTCTAGCATGAACTCAGCTTAGTTCAAAATGCGCACTGCACATAATATCTGCTCTAACCTTTTTCATTTTGAAGAAACAGACTTACAAGACCAGATCAGTTAGTAATTTGTACTGACATCACTTTTCTCATGCATATCACACTTTGTGATATTTTTCACAGAATTAGTCAGGTTGTCCCTTCCAATCTGTATCATTTTAGAATTTTACTATAGCCAGATCCAACTTAATTATTTAACAGATTATCAGCACTATCAAAATGGCAATTAAGGAGTTGGTTGTATCCTAATTTTGGATATACACAATACAGCTGATTAGAAGCGCTATGTTGAGTAACACTGGTGCATACTGCAGTCAAAAACCTGACAAATTTTATGTTAATTGGTAGAGTTTATTTTTTCAAGGATTCACCTCAAGTCATTTAGTTATATTGAGCAGTTCACTTCCAGTGTCTAGCTGTTACCCTGACGCATAGGTACAAGTGTATTTTGAATCAAATCCATATAGAGTACAGGCTAATCAAACAGAACAGAAAAGTAGTGCTTCTTCAAGTCATTATCTTTCATGCTGTGCTCCCTTGATCATTTACTACGGGCAGCATACAGAAGTGACAGATTTGGTATAGATCAAATGGACTTTTTCAACTGGGAGTCTCTGACAAAAGTGCAATCCTGTGATCTTTGTGACCCATACCCTCTGCACCGGGATCAAACAGCTTCTAAAAATTTCAGATGAGTAATTGCCACTTCAGTTAGGTTATTTTAGTTTCTTTCTCATTCTGTTCTATCCAGCTCCCTCCCCCAAAATCTCTTTGTGTCACACCTGAACTTTGCATAGAATTTTAAAAATCAATTTGAATCAGTCTTCTTAGTTGGGCTGCACAATGTCATTGGATTAAAACCATGCCAGCTAGGGCAGGTTCCTACTTCAAAGCAAATGCACCATGTCATTTCCAAGTGTGGGGTGACTGCTTTATGAGCATTAAATCTGATTTTTCCAAAGGAAGGGAGTGTGGGAACTTTAAAGAAAAATCCAGGTCATGTTTGGATTTGATTCTGTAATTGACCAAAAGGGAAAAAAGAACATTTAAAAAGTAAAGGCAGTTAAAAACTAACTGCAGGAAAGGATTGTGCATCTAAGACTTTCATTAGATGGCTCAGACTGCATTTCTTGCATATGTGCAGTAAAAGTACTAGTTCTATGTTGATCATGTATGTCGTCTCTCTGTATCGGAGTGAGGGTTTTGGTTGTAACATACTGTAGTATGTGATAATTAGCATAGCATGCGTCTTCTATGCTCTGTGTTTTTTGTATTTCCTTTTTTATTGTTGTTGTTTTGTTTGTAATTTATGTATTTCTTTCCTACATCATAGAATACAACAGGTAATAAAATGAAAATCCATCAAACTCACAACTTACTGCAAAATGGCACCCCTGTATATCCCCCTGTATATCACACAATTCTGGATATTGTAATCTAACAAAATGCTGGGTATAGCATAAATCTAATTAGATCATTTTGAATTAGATATAAATCTAATTATATACAGTGCCTTGCGAAAGTATTCGGCCCCCTTGAACTTTTCAACCTTTTGCCACATTTCAGGCTTCAAACATAAAGATATAAATTTTTTATT